TAGTTATTTTAGCTTTGTCTTATGTGTTTAAAAATTATATAAATGGTATCCTCCTGTATGAATCATTCAGTAACTTACTTTTTACACTAAACTTTCAGTGTAGAAATCCATCCATGTTGATGTTGTTATACCTAGATGTTTCATTTTAAAAACTGTATAACCTTTCATCATGCTGCCAGATATTTAGGTAACTCTGAGGAGCCCTCGTGGGGCAGTGGTTAAGAGCTCAGCTGCTAACCACAAGGTTGGCAGTTCGAATTCACACTTTCCTCCTTGGAAACCCTCTGAGGGCAGTTCTATTCTGTCCTATAGGGTTGCTATGAGTGGGAATTGACTTGATGGCAGTTGTTTGTTGTTTGTTCTGTAATTTTATTCATTTCTTCCTTTTGTTAAAATGGGTAATACCCGTTTATCTCATTTCCACTACTCAAAAGCAGATTTGGTATTGCTAAGTCATTGCAGGATGTCCAGGATATAATAGGCAATCATACTGCATATTATTCAAGAAATGAATTTATTTCATCTTCCTTCCTCTCTTTCTTTTCCTTCTTTCCTCCTTCCTTCCCTCTCTCCCATTGTTTGTTTATCGATGACATCCAATACCTGTTCTCTGTTTATATTTCCACACTTGTTTTCTCCTACTTTCCACATGTATAAAACCAAAACCAAACCCGTTGCCGTTGAGTAGATTCCTACTCAGAGTGACCCCACGGGACAGAGCAGAACTGCCCCATAGAGTTTCCAGGGAGCAACGGGTGGGTTCAAACTGCTGACCTTTTGGTTAGCAGCCAAGCTCTTAACTACTGCGTCACCAGGGCTGCCCTGCATGTGCACTATGTTGGAAATTCCTGAACTAGTCTCACCTTTCTCCAAATCTGTTTTGAGCTTGTATACTCAGGGTTTTGCTCTTGATTTTCCTTCCCTGTAGAATAATCTTTTTCCATGTCTGCTTGTCCACGCTCTCTGTGTTCCTCAAGGGCTAGTTAAAATGTCACTCTCCATCAAACCTTAAATCGAGTGAGCTACAAAAGCTCTCCTCTGTATTCACTGCAGTTCCATATCACAAAGTGCAAACAGAATTATTTCTGGATTTGAAGCTCCATGCTGTTTCTAGCTATCGTTGCAAATTTGATCAACGTAATAACATTCAGACTCCAATATCTCACCTATAAATGGGAAAAAAATAATGCTTATATCACAAGGTGATTGTGTTGTGTCAAATTATCTAATAAATGTAAAGCATTCAGCACATAGCAGGTGTTTATTTATTTTCTCTTACTTTTCTGTCCTGAGAAGGTAACACTACTGGCACTCATTGTTTGCCCTTTTCTTATAGAAATCATGTCATTTGCCTTTCAATGATATTTACGCATAGTATTATCTCCTCAGTCATATGTCTTAAACCAAAACTAAACCCGTTGCCTTCGAGTCGATTCTGACTCATAGCAACCCTATAGGACAAAGTAGAACTGCCCCATAGAGTTTCCAAGGAGCGTCTGGTGGATTCGAACTGCTGACCTTTTGGCTAGCCGCTGTAACTGTTAACCACTACACCACCAGGGTTTCCTTATATGTCCTAGAAATCATAAATTCAAATAATGTTTCCCTATACACCATCACCCCTTATGCATTCTGGCAAAAGCAGATAGTTAATCAGATTGTGATTTTAAATAGTATCTGATAAGTCACTTCTGATGTATCCTCTTGAAAGTTCCCACTAATATACAAACATACCAAAGAAAAAACTCAGAATTTCCAGAGAGAATATAGTCTTTTTTGTTTGTTTTACAAGAATACAGGATAAAGTTTTCTATTGGACAGCTCATAAAATATAGTTAGAAAATACAATTGTGGGTCATCGGCGTCATACTGTTAGAAACCAGACATGCTCGCCACCTGTTTAGAAATGCAAAGTAAGCCTTAGTCAGAAAACAATTGTTTCTCCATGAGCTTCCAGCTGCTGGGATACTATTCCTTACGTTCCACATTGCCCACCCATCTTTATGCCTTTGTTATCATTTTCTTCCAGAAAACTGTAATTTCCAGAAAATGACTGGTCAAAAACTAGTGAGGAGCACAGGGATCATACAAGATGCGTTATAAAAGACGTAGCCCTCACAAGTCAACATCTGAATATTCTGCACATTACTGAGGATTGTAACTTAGTCATAGTCCCCATTTGTTTAGGGTTTGGGGGGAGAAGTTGACCTTGCCTCAACTCGACAGAGCTACACTATTACTTTAGCAACTGTTCTGGGCAGTGGGCACATCCAATTGCCTTCTAGCTGCAGATCTGTAAGAATTAACCTCCAAATGGACAGAGAGAGGAGTTGAGGACAATATGAAAGAAAATTTTAAAAGTCAATATGGCATGATTCTCATCTCTTATCTCCAACAGGAGAGATAAACATGCAAGCATGTTTGGGTCAAACAAAAAAACAAACCTGTTGCCATCGAGTCGATTGTGACTCATAGAGACCATATAGGACAGAGTAGAACTGCCCCATAGAGTTTCCAAGGAGCACCTGGTGGATTCGAACTGCTGACCTTTTGGTTAGCAGCCATAGTACTAAACCACTATGCAACCAGAGCTCCATACATTGTGTAATGGACCTCTATATTAGGTATTGTGGAAGGAGTGATCAAGTGACCATGTAGATGAGAGGCAGGGAAGACTTCTCTGAACTGGTGATCTATGACATCTTCTCGGTCCTTAAAATGAGTAAAATCTTCTACTGATTTACAAGTAGAAGAAGAGTATTATAGGAAACAACATATGCAAATACATGAAGTAGTGAAAAGGCATGCCCCATTCAGAAATCAATTTTAGTTTTGTTTATTTGAAGTTCAAGGCACAAGGTGTAAAGTAGCAAGAGATGAACGTGGAGATGCAGATAAGGGCCAGATCAAGGAAAGCCTTAGATGCTTTTCAAAGTTATTTGCACTTTGTTTTACGAATACTGATTACTCACTCACAAAATTGGGAGCAGGGAAGCAATATGAATGCAGGAAGCACTCTGGAGACTCTGTGGAAGGGTGTGATTTGGGATAGTTAGAGCATCTGAAATAGTTCTGATGAAATAAAATGTTGCCCATGGGGATGGAGAGGTTGAGACATGTAGGAGACCTAGCAGGGTACCCTAATATACTCACTTATCTTGAGAAAACACAGAAGGAGAAAGAACAAACAAATAGAATTGCATGTGATGAACATGAAGTAGGAGACATGTTCTTGCTACTTCCCTGCCTAGACTCAGTTCCTAAATGCCCCAGGTTCTATGATCATCTTGCTGGAATGAATGTGAGGCTTCAGCTTAAAGTCTGCAGACACTGGATGCCTAAATGCAAATTAACTACCTTATCTGCTGCTCACTTGAAGAAACAGGGATCTCTTCCAGCTCTAGATGAAAAACTGGATGTACTGGAACTATGCGTGATGGAGAGATAGTAGACTAATCTGCAGTCCTGCGGGACTTAGAAGGATAAGTTTTGACTATAGGGTGGCTGGTGCGAACAGTGAATGCACTGGGCTGCTTACCAAAATGTTGGTGGTGTGAGTCTACCCAGAAGCACCTTGGAAGAAAGATCCGGTGATCTACTTCTGAAACATTGCCCATTGAAAACCCCATGGAGCACTGTTCTACTCTGACCCACATTAGCTCATGATGAGTCAGAGAAAACTTGACGGAGACTGGTTTTGTTTTTACTATGGATGATTTCAGACTTTAGAATTTAATTTCCCCATAAAATGCCCTATATTTGTCCTGAGTAACAGACTGAATGTGGACAGGAAGATGAGTCTTGGGATTTACAAGTTCTGGCTTGGATAATTGGTTAGATGATGGAACAGTTATTAAAGATAAATACATGAAGAGGACAAAGTTTTATTGGGGTATTAGTAAGAAAAGAGAAACAGACTCTGGCAGGAGCTGGGATACCTCTTCCTGGTAACAGGAGTTGGAGGAGCTGCCATTAAAATGACTAAGCTCTAACTATTTACATTTTTTAATTTCTCCGTTCAGATTTCAAGTCCCCCGAAAAGAGAATGTGAATGACGCTGCTTGACCCTGTCAACGTCGTACACTCCAGCAGAAGGAAAGACCACAGGCTAGACCGAAAGACCAAACCTGTTGCTGTCGTGTTGATTCTGACTCATAGTGACCTTCTAGCCAGACAGTCACCCCAATTTTCCTCCACTTCAGGGAAGAGGATAGTTCAATTTGTAGACATATTAAATTTGAGATCCCTACAAGGGAGACCTTCAGGGGGAATGTGGCTATATTGGCTGGAGTTAAGGAAAAATCAGTGCCCAAAATAGAGACATTGGAGTGAGCAATATACAGAAACCATGAGAAGGATGATTTGCGTGCAGACTGAGAAAAGGACTGTAGATAGAATCCTTGAGAATACTTTAAGTTTAAGAAGCAGGTAGAGGAAGAGGAGGAAGGTGCCCAGAGAGACCAAGAACTGTCTGAGGGCTAAAGAACAAAGAGAGTGGGAGGGCTAGCGTGCTTACTGCAATGCAACATTGATCTAGAAATTTCTGTCTCTGAGATAAGTATCTTTCTTCCAAGTTTTATAAGAAAAGAAATACTACAGATGAAGAAACCATCATCTTCTTTCTGGGAAACTTGTATCCAGACAGCAATATTAGACGCATCATTCTCAAGATATTAGCAACGATGGAAAATCCAAGTTTCTGACTTACCAGGTTCTAATTAGCCCCAACCATTCTAATACCATTCTTTTGGGATTTGCTCTTTTTTTTTTTTTTTTCTTTTTTTAATTGTGTTTTAGGTGAAAGTTCACAGCGCAAATTAGTTTCTCATTCCAAAATTTATACACAAATTTTTTTGTGACATTGGTTACAATCCCTGCCGTGTGTCAGCACTCTCCCCCTTTCCCTTTCCACTCCCTGTTCTCCGTGTCCATTTGCCCAGCTTTCCTGTCCCTTCCTGCCTTCTTGTCCTTGCTTTTGGGCAGGTGTTGCCCATTGATGTCGCATACTTGATGGAACTAAAAAGCATGTTCCTCACGTGTGTTATTGTTTGTTTTGTAGGCCTGTCTAATCTTTGGCTGAAAGGTGGACTTCAGGAGTGGCTTCAGTTCTGATTTAGCAGGGTGTCCGGGTGCCATAGTCTTGGAGAGGATTTGCTTTTTGATAAACATTCACAAAGGAAAATCAGAATAAATTTAAAGGACTGATAGGAAAGTGTGGAGCTGAAACGCTTTATCCAAAGAAATGGCAAAGTTCTCTAGCCAGAGAGTAAGAATCTGGACAGTGGCAAACTCTACAGTGAAAACCTTTGAAAATGGATACAGGTGTGGAGGACAATGTCTTAGAATTTAAACATTCCAGGGGTTTATTTTCCTGGGTGGCTTTAGGGGATGAGAGTCAGGTGTCCTAAACCATGAGATTCTGCTGAGTTTTTTAGCATAAGGGAGTGAGTAGTAACAATTGTGACCTAAAGCTTTGTTCTCCTACAGGAAAGTCACAGGCATTTAAGAACTTGATCTTGGTTTTTTGTCACAAATCTGGAAAGAGAGAAAAGTTAAGTTTTAAAGTTCAACCGATACATCATTTTTCATAATAAGTAACTAGCCAGTTGTCTGACCGGATTTAACTACCTTCATGCGTTTGTTCTTCATATAGGATGTATGTGTCAACACAGTCATGTCAGCCGAAGAAAATCTGACACAATCAAAATAGTCATATGGACTAAAAAGGAAACTATAAAAACTTAACCAATCCCAAATCTCAAAACACAGTGTTTATACTAGAAGAAAAAAATAGCAATTTTAGTATTCAGTCTTAAGTTCTAGGTGAATGTAGCATGTGTGAAAAACCTGACTACACCTACAAAGTACTCAGATAAACAGTAATTCTGTGAGAAAACTTGTATTTCTCAGTGTACTTTGTTTTAAGGTCTAAAAATACAGTGAAACTTATTTCGTACATTGTTGGATGGGACTTACCCCTGCCTGTACGCTAGATTTTGTCTCAAAATAACTATAAGGACAGTTGCCATCCAGTGGATTGCGACTCATAGGAACCCTGTAGGACAGAGTAGAGCTGCCCCATAGGGTTTCCAAGGAGCAGCTGGTGGATTCAAACTGTTGACCCTTTGGTCAGCTGAGCTCTTAACCACTGTGCCACCAAGGCTCCAAAATTACTGTAGGAGGTTACGATGTTCTGGAAAATCTACTTTAACCCACAACTTGTAAAATAAATAATACCATATAATGCCATAATGGAGCTCTAACATATTACTTTTGATATATGCTGAAATAAAGGGTTACTGATATTATTCTATTGATACCGAAAGAACTTTTATAAACAATGGAAAACAGTGGGTCTTGAAATCCACTGCTGACTGGATGTTAATATTTTAGGTGCATCTTTACTGATTAAAAATTACGTCTTCTATCAATTGTGAGTTCAATTTTGGGGACCGAACCCCCCAGTAGGACCTTTTAACTTCTTTGTTTTTGTCTACATGCAAATATAAATATTAACTCTGCCCTGTTGTCTTGCAGATACTCTAGACACCCAGTCAAGGACTGAGGAAGGCTCTTGGAAATCCATGCCATCATTAGGAAAAAATGCATTTATATTCATCAAATGGTGGACATGTAATACCTGCTTTGCATGGAATAAAATTCTACAAATAAAGAAAAATGAAGAATAGTTTTGGCTTGTCCAGTGTCACATGACCAGTCAGGAAAAGAGCCAGGACTTCCAACTCCCTGACCAAGTGATATGCTTCCACTGAATCACACTGCTTTGCTCAGTGATTGGCATACGATACAGGCTTACCCACTGAGCAACATGACATAATGGAGGACAGAAGAACAGCCTAGACTTCAAGGTAAAAAATCAAACAAATAAACAAAAAACTGAATTTAATCTTGGCTCTGGCACGTATTAGCTATCGGCTAAGCAAGTTATTTACGTTCTCTGCTATAAATTCTCCAATTTTAAATAATAGTGCTTATAGCACTTCAATAGAGACAAAAGGAGATAATGTATATAGTGTTTTGTACAATGACCAGCCTATTGTAGGCCCTCAGCAAATTCTACTTTTCTGTCTAATATATATATAGTTTAATGGAGCTGTGGTGGCACAATGGTTAAGTGCATATTAGTCAAGACACTTGGCTGCTAATGACAGAAGACCAACACAAATCAAGTAGGGTAAAAAGAAGCACTTATTGCTCACATAATCAATCTGCTGGAAGGGCAGTGTACTCAGAGATGATTAGAAGCAAGGACTTGAGCACTGCCAGGACTCTCCGAATCTCCCCGTCGCTTCTTTTTGATTGCCGCGCTATTCACTCAGATCACATCACCCTTCGCCTTGTTAGATATGTGGCTTATGGCAAATCCCAGTCTCAAACTACCTGCTTTTCCACTATGAACGGAGTGAACCTATTTCTCTGGTCTCAGATTAAAACATCTCCTTCTGATTGGTCATTTCCACTCGTGGGAGAAGGAAAGCAGGATTCCATTACTGCCTCAGCTTGGATCTTATGCTCCCTTACAAAACTTAAAAAAGGAACTCGGGCTCATTAATGAGCAGAGAAGCATCCACTATGAAAGCTTAATCAACCAAGATGTTGGGTGAAATAACAAGGTACCAAAAAGTACATGAGATATGATACCAATTATGTAATCTTTAAAGAGACACAAAATGTTGTTGTTAGGTCCCGTCGTTCCAGCTCATAGCAACGCTATATACAAAAGAACGAAACACTGCCCAGTCCTGTGCCATCCTCACAATCGTCGCTTTGTTTGAGCCCATTGTTGCAGTCACAGTGTCACTCCATCTTGTTGATGGTTTTCCTGTTTTTTGTTGACCTTCTACTTTATAAAGCATGATGACCTTCTCCAGTGACTGGTGCCTCCTGACTACAGGTCCTGAGTACGTGAGATGAAGTCGTGCTATCCTCCCTTCCAAGGAACATTCTGGCTGGGGTATTTAGGGACATAAATACGAAGGAAGAGTATATATAGCAATGTATAGGAATGACACACACCGAATTGAGACAGTAGTATTCTCTGGGAAGGAAGATAAAGTAAGAGAATGGAGTTTAAATGCAGCTCTCAAGTTTTAGTTACCTAGTTAGTTTAGGTAGTTAGTAAGGCAGGAAGGAAGGAAGAAAGGCAGGGAGGAAGGAAGGTAGAAAGGAAGGAAAGATTGAAGGAAGGAAGAAAGGAAGAAAAATGAGAGAGAGACAGAAAAAGAGAGAGAATGATTTGAAAAAACTATAACAAGGGATTTTAACCTAGCCTAAGTCTCAAATTGAAATATTTATACTGGAGGGGAAATATAATTACATCTGTTGAAAAAAAATCATTGTTGTTCTTGTTAGTTGCCATCTAGTTGATTCCAACTCATGGCGACCTCATGTGTGCAGAGTAGAGCTGCTCCATGGGGTTTTCAAGGCTGTGACCTATTGCAAGCAGATTGCCACACCTGTCATCTGATGCACCAACTTCTCATCTAGTAGTCAAGGCTTAATCATTTGTGCCACCCAGGGACTCCAAAAGAAACCATACCCAGAAGCGTTTTCAGAAGTAATGAGGATGAGGGTCTGCTATATTTGCATTCTCGTTCATTTTCTACAAGATGTCGTGTTTTCTTGAATTTAGCTCAGGTGTAGAGTACCTGACTTTACAGTATTACAAACGCTTCTTGATACAGTTGTACTTCTAACTCAACTAAGAAGTTCCTTGTTGTTATTATACAAAGTACTGAATATTGAAACAAAGGCTGATTTGTTGACGATGTTAAAATAATCAGTAATCCCTTAAGATGACAAAAAAAAAAAAAGAAAAAGAAACTCTCTTGGTCATCAATTTGTAAAGAACATACACAAACTTTCTTTGTCAAAAGATCTGGAGCCAGGTAAATATAGGAAAAGATGCAGTTCTCAGATTAAAGTTTTAAAAATCACTGCTGTCTATCAAAGGAGAGAGAAAACAAACAAGGCACTTTCTTTATCAGGAAAAAAACAAAGGGAAGAGGAAGGAGGCTTACCCGTGAGCGATACTTCTACATCTTTTACATGGCTTAACAAAATGTAGAGATGGGATAAGTGGAAAATACGTCTTGGGCTTGCAATTCACATGAAGGAGTTGGTATCCCTCATTTTAAGCAAATCATGGCATGAAAATAAGTAATGAAGGAAAAACTTGTGCTTTTTTTATTTGTTCTATAGAAAGATCCAAAGTAAGATTATTTTTTAAACAGTTTCCTTAGTGCATTGGTCTTTATTTTAAAAACAATTTATTGGTCATTTATTATCTGCCTGGCTCCATGGATATGTGCATATTCCCTGTCCTTAACTTTAATGGCAGAGACAAAGTTAAAATACATGAAACATCAGATCTGAGCTGAGGGTTAAAAATTCTTAGAGCTTATTGTGTGCGGACTCTGTGATTGGGATAGAAAGGGAGGTTGAGAGATCACAGATTAAGGATCCAGAAGGAACAGAGGCATCGTGTGGAATGATCAGGGTAGCTGTTAAAAAAGAAAAAAAAAAACCCATTGCCCTCAAGTCGATTCCGACTCATAGCGAGCCCTATAGGGCAGAGTAGAACTGCCCCATAGTGTTTCCAAGGAGCCGTTGGTGGATTCAAACTGCTGACCTTTTGGTTTGCAGCCAAGCTCTTAACCACTGCACCACCAGGGCTCCGTTGTTCAAAATCCTATTAAAATCTGACTCAATTTACAAGAATTTGATGTACATACATTGTGTTAAACATACTCATTTTGTCTTCTGTATCTTTAAACACAATGAAGAGGTTTGAAAATGTGTTCAAAAGGCCGCTGGTTCCCTTCCATTTGCTTACCACATGCTTTTTGGGGGGCCGGGGGAGGGGTGAGCAGTACACAATTCTTTCGTAAAGAACTTTCTGCCCTTCACAAGGAAATGATTGTTGGTCTGCAGTTTTAATTTTGGAACTACAATTTTGGAGACTCATAACAGATCTTGCCTTGCATTGCATGTCATCCATCTGGACAAGCTTGTCCCTCCTTACGAGCTTCGCTGTGGTGGTCAGGGTTGAAGAGTCTGTCCACTTCTCAGGGTAAGGTTCAAATATGTCTTATTTTTTACTTTCTTAGTCTTCAGAGTCCAGCACAAGTGCCTGGATCATGGTAGGTGCTCTATCAAGTTTGTTGAATTAATTAGTTAATTGATTAATACGTGAAGTAAAAAGAACCAAGAATGATTTTTCAAATCTCCTATTGAAAAAAACTCTTCCTTTGGCATCTATCAGGAACCAATTCAAAAAGGATTTCATTAATGTACTTTACTGCATGGCAAGGCATTTTGTAATGTGATGAGGGGACTTTTGCCTCAAAGACACCTGTCTGAATCCATCCCAAGTAGATAGAGCCTGAAAGTTACCGCTGCCAATCTGAAGGGAGCCGGCAATGGATTAGGGTTTCGATCCCGAGGAACAGGTGTCCTTGTCATAAAATTGATCATAACTGTGAACCAGAGAGGCTAATGAGCCAGTAAATAAAAACTTGGATATAATCTAGATAAATCCTGTGGAGGAAGTTCATGTTCCCAATGTAGCAGCTAAATATGGGACATGAAAGATGCTCAGAGGACTGAAGATATTAGACCCAAGTTTTAGCCCTGATTCTGGCATAACATGCTTTTTCACTTTGACAGAATGTTTTGGGATCATCTTCTACATTTCCTGCCCCAGACCTCAGATTATCCATTCTTTTAGTGGAAATAGTATTTCAGCACCACGCTTTGGGTACTAGCAATGTTCATTGCTCCTTGATTGTGCATTGTTTCTAGGCCTCTTCAATAGAAAGAATGAAGAAA